ACTGTTTGTTAACTTTTACAAGTTACATTACTTTATTTTCTTCTGCGTTTAACGTATATTTCAAATTGAAAATTCAGTAAAATTGAGAAATAATAATTGATAATAATAAATGGGAATAATTTTTTTAATCTGATTAAACTTATAGTATATGGCAAATAATTTATTGACGGAAGCATTGAATACTTATCAAATGATTGTGAAAAATAAAATGTTTGTAAATTCGGGTCGCTTAAAAGCAAACATTGCTAATATCTATTTCAAACAAAAAGATTACAAAAAAGCTATCAAACTTTATCAAATTGCTCTGGATCAAATACCAAATTCACAAAAAAATACCAGGTAAAATAATTTTAAAATTTATAATAAATATACTAAAATATGAAAAAGAGAGAGAGAAAGGAAGAAAAAGACGGAGAGCAAGAAAAAAACGAGAGAAATGTCAATGAAACTATGAAAATTAATTTTGTTATTTTTGCAATTTTTTTTTTTAAAAATAACAAAATAAAATTCAACAATTGCATCTTTTTTTGATAGCAATAAGTGACAATAATAGAAAAAAAGTATTATTGAAAAAAATTTCGATTTTGTTCAAATTAGCTAATTAACATGCATACACGCGTATATTTATTTAATTTACTTTAAATAACTATTTAAATCACTTTTTCATCATCATATCATATACTGTTAACCTTTTTATTCTGTAAAACTGTAAACAAAAAAAGAGGAAAGTAAAATTTTGATTTAAGGAAAAAATAAAATTTTGAAAATACAAAAAAAAAAAGAAAAAATGGAAATATTTTTATTATAGGATTAAAATAATGAATAATATTGGTGTTGCATTTATCAAATGTGGTGAATATGACGAAGCTGATAGTACATTTGAGTACTGTATGAATGAAAAGGGTAATTATAATACAGCGCTTAATTTTATCCTTACCGCATATTGCTTAAATGATATTGATAAGATGAAGGATGGATTTCAGCGTTTGTTGGATATACCATTTTTGATAGATGATGAAACGAAATATGTGGTTTGTTTGATTCGTTTTTTTTTCTAATCATATCATATCTTACTAATTATGCTACCGTTAATAGGCAGTAATTGTTATGAATACATTCAAATAACTGATCACTTTATCATAAAAGATACCATCGTATAATTTATTATGTTATCAAGTAATTGATATCCATTGATAAATAATGACTGTATTATCATTAATAGATATTATTTGATGAGGAAAATTTTGATATAGCAGTGAACACAATCATATAACTGATTATTTTATTATAATAGATATTTATTATATTATCAAATAATTGATATCTGTGAATTAATAATGACTGTATTATCACAAATAGATATTATTTAATCAAAAAAATTGCAATAATTAATGTTCATCAATAACGGATATCAATCTGATAATTGATTATATTTCAATAATAGATGTGATCGGGTAGTTGATTACATTATAACTAATAGATATGATCTCATTATCATACTATCAATGATAGATATCAGCTAATCACATAAATACGAAAGCTTCCGATATTGGTGGCACTTTAAGAAATTATTGCTTTTAAAATAATACAGACCGATACTTTCGGATGTATCAGAATAAAGCGTAATGTTTAACAGATGCAAAAATATGCCTAAGTTTCTTTTATCAATATTAACCAGTTAGAATTTCAAAAAAAAATAAATAAATAAGAAATAAATTTGGCCCAAATAGAAAATTTAAGGATCAACAGGATTTCCTGATTTCACAAATTATTAGCAACGATTCGCTAAAACAATGGGAGCGTCAACGACGAAATGCTGCAGAAAAAACAATTTTCATTGCTGCAAAAATTATTTCATCCGTTATTGCACCAACGTAAATTAATTTTCTTTTCCTCATTTTTTTTTCTGGAAAATTGGATGGAAAATTGATTAATTGTTTAAGGATTGAATTTTAGCAAAATTAAATAAATTTTATCATTGTATTGACTCTGTTTTAACAGAAGTAGCAGTGAAAGCAAATGATAGCATTAATTTGATTTTCAAAAAGAAATGACGTGCAAAAATTAGCATTAGATAATCCCGAAATACATGAATGTGCATGATTGCATTCTTAATTATAGTTATTCCAAAACAGAAATGGCATTGTTTTAAATTTGAAGAATTTAAACTAAAATCTTTCAATAGTAAATTTGCCATTTGAATAAAATTAATATAGCTTGAAGATGTATGTCAATCAGTGAGGTTTTTTGAAATGAAAAATTGAAATTTTCGTTTCAATAATTTATCAATATTTTTTTTATCATTTTTTTTTTCATCTGATGTCAATATTTTTTTTTATGTCAGTATTTTGTAATGTCAATATTTTTTGTCAATATTTTTTAATGTCAATATTGTCAATATTTTTTTTATTCTATCATTTTTTTTCGTTTTATTAAAATTTTGAAATGTTGATAAAATTAGGGTATCTGAGGGTTACAAATGGTGTGTGGAAGCAATTCGACAATCGGTGTATGCACCATTGGCAATGGAAATTGAAATGAACAAAGTGGTCGCATTGCTTAAACAGGGTGATTTAACGAATGCAACAGAAGTATGCTAATTTCATTTCTACATTTAAATTAATTACCTATAAGTCAAATGTCATGCGTTGATTAAATGAAATAATTTGGTTACTGATCATGTTATTTTTCAAGGAAATATATTTGATTACCGTTGATAAGAAAATTGCTTGATCAATTCAGATTAAAAACAAAAAAGTAATTGCTTGAGAATAATATTGAAAAAAAAGAAATTTAGATACTAATGTCATTCAATAACAAGGAGGATAAAGTGGCAAGTGCAGCAGCGAATAATCTTGCTGTACTTAATCTTTTAGTTAGTTCAAATTTTATTATTTTCCTTTGAATTTAAATTGATAAATTTAAGTTTTCATTTAAGTGATCATGTATTAATGCAGGAATAATTAATTTAAACTTTAATGGTTGTTAATTTTTTTTTTTTGCAAGCATTAAAAGTATTATGAGATTTTTTTATAAAGTATCAGTTCAAAACTTTAATAAAATGTATGTTGGTTTATTTGTAGGAATCAATTTTTTTTTTCTTTTTACATTTACTTTTATTAAGTAAGAAATATGAATTAACCTGCAATGAATCATTCATTGTGTTACATATTATTCTTTTTTAGCAAGGAGCATCGAAATTGGAAGAAGCTATACAATACTCTGAACAAGCACTTTCTGTTGACCGTTACAATGCTAATGCATTGGTGAATCGCGGGAATATTTTTTTCGTTCTAGGTGATTTAGATAAAGCCGCTCAATACTATAAGGAAGCATTAAATAATGAGGTAAGTATAATAAATAAAACAATTCTTGCATTATTCTATTTAATAATACATTGATATTACAATGATAATTTTGAAATATTTATAAATTGATCGATTGCATCTGAATTGATCATTGAAAAAATGACTTTCAAGCTTCATAAAAGTAAATGTAAAAAGAAAAAAAATTCCTATAAATAAACCAACATTTCATTGAAATTTTGAATTGATACTTTATAAAAAAATCTCATAATACTTTTAATGGTTGCAAAAAAAAAAAATTAACAACCATAAAAGTTTAAATTAATTATTCCTGCATTAATACATGGTCACTTAAATGAAAATAATTAATTGTCTTAATTGTCCACCTATATAATTAATTATTATCGTTTAAATTATTTGAAACTTTTCATTACTATCTGCTTCATTGTTTCTAATGCAATTTTTAGTCAAAAATAAACAGGAATTGTTGAAATTAAAAAAGATTTTTTCTTTCAAATTTTTAAATAAACATTTAAGGCATCATGTTTGCAAGCTCTTTACAATCTTGGCTACGTTCAACGTTTACAAGGAAAATTAGAAGTAGCATTGGAGTGTTTTTATAAATTACATAATATTTTATTAAATAATGTTCAAGTACTATGCCAACTTGCTTCGATGTAAGTTACTATTCAAATAATAATCTTCTCCAGTTTTTGTAGTTTTTCTTTTAAATTTACTGAAAATCATTTTCATTTAAAATTTATTATTGTTTAATTTACGTTCTCCTATATTTTTTAAAATTTTTGTTAAAAAAAATTAAAAATCGCAATATGAAGCATAATAAGGTACAATTTAAGAATGTTTGATTTGAAAATTAGAAAATTACTTTAAAAAAAAATTAAAAAGAATTACATTTTAAGTAAATTATGGATATTTAATGGAGTTATGTGAGTTAACGTATGAACATTTTATGGTATTAATTTTAGGAGTAACTTATAAATATTATAGATATGAACTACTAAAGGATACAGCACAGGCAGTCGAATTATATAGTCAGGCAAACAGCTTAGCTCCAACAGATCCTGGGATATTATCGAAATTAGCCAGTATTTATGATTCGGAAGGTGATAAAAGCCAAGCATTTCAATGTCATTATGATGTAAGATTTCCGGATTTTTTTCCTGAAAAAATATTTCGAACAGATTGTCGCAAAAAGAAGTTGCACTTCAGCAGAATTACCGTTTAATCATTATAATTATAAAATTTGAATAGAAATTGACTATAAAATAGTCTATGATGATTTGGAGAATGATAAAAGTCAAGCATTTCAATATCATTACCATGTAGGATTTTCGATTTTTTTTCCTGAAAACATAATGATATACATGATGATATATTGAAAAAATCGAAAATTAAAATTATCTAATCATTTAGTAAATATAGTCTTTATGATAAATGATAAAAATTCCATTGAGCAGAGTTAACAATTAGCCAAATCCTAATACTCCATCTTTTTCCTTTTTCAAGCCAACTGACGGAAAGCTAAGATTAAATTAAAAATTAAATTGGATTTGCATTTGCTTAAAATTTGTCATCACTTATTCGAAAGTGTAATTTTAATTCAGAAAAATAAAATTTTAACGTTTAATTTCTTGATTAAACTTTAATCATAAATACTATATTTTGTTCAAGCAATTTAATGAATTGATAAGAAGTAATGTTAAAAGAAATTTAATGATAATTTTAGAGTTATCGATATTTTCCATCTAATATTTCCACAATTGAATGGCTTGGAGCATATTACATTGATGCTCAGTATCCGGAAAAAGCAGCAATTTATTTCGAAAAAGCTTCTATCATGGAGTAAAACTCAAATATTGTTTACACACTTTTTTCGTAATTTGTTTATTTCACTTTATTTAGGCAAACAAAAAAAAAAGGAATGTATTGGTAACTCTAAATTCAAATATCTGCTACGATTTATTCCTGAAAGTTGTAATTTTAAGTATCATATTCTCGAATTACATACCTTTTTTCTGGAAATTTTAATCTCAAGTATCAGATTCTCGAATCGTAGTAATATTCTATGTTAGCTTGATTTATGCTGATCTTTCATAAACGAATGAAAAAATAAGTAAATAAAATTTAGACCAAATGAAATAAAATGGCAATTGATGATGGCAGCATGCTTACGACGTTCCGGAAATTATCAAAAAGCATTCGAGTTGTATCAACAAATACATGGAAAATTTCCAGAAAATATCGAATGTTTGCTTAATTGCTACTTATTTTATTTTTATAAGATTTAAAATTTATTTTCTGCAATGGAAAGAATCTTATAATTTTGATTTTAGGTTTAAAATTTTTGGTCAGATTATGTACCGATCTTGGAATGCCTGAAGCTAAAGAATACATGGAAAAGGTAAAGTAGCATTCATATTTATTGAGCGCACAAAAAAAAAATTTTCTAAAATTAAAAATACTGTTTGCTTTTTTCCCTATAATTTCATATCACCCTGAAAATCGTAAATATCTAAAGAAAAGATGTAATGCAAAAATGTAAGTTAAAGTTGTCATGCATCCGTTTATATTTATTCAAACAATTTTTTAATTGTTTAATTTGAAATTTTCAATCAAATATCGAAATAATATAGCATAAAGGTTTTGTTTAGCTAACCTTAATTGTTCTAACACTGATCTTTTTTTTGTAATGACAGAATAATTAATATTGTCTTCATGGTGTTATTGATTATTGGTTATTATTTAATTAATGATCTTCTAACTAGCAAATCATCACTTCATTTTGTTATTTTTACTTTTTCATCTTATTTTTAATTTTTCAGCTATCAAAGACAGAAAAAGTACGTCAATTAAGAATGCAACGTGAGGTGGATTCTAGCCAAGGAAGACAACATACACCGTTAATTCAATCAACAAGTAACTTTGCGAAAGATATTTCACGTACGTCACTGTAATTGTAATAAAATAATCTGCCACTAACTTTTTTTTCTTTTTGAAAAATTTGCATCAATAAAACAATGAGAAAAGTGTATGGAACTTTTCGTCTTATGCTATCAAAAAAAAAGAGATTGACAAACACCGATAGTAGCATTCGTAATAGTAGCAGTTAATAACGGTAGTAGCATTTAGTAGCAGTAGTGGTAATTAATAGCAGTAGCGTTAGTGGTAGTAGTAGTAGTAGTGGTAGTAGTAGCGTTAGTGGTAGTAGTAGTAGTAGTAGTAGTAGTAATAGTAGTAGTA